CTGACCTCCTTGCGAAATTCTGTCAAGACGAGGGCATCGTCCAGTCGTTCACGCTTCCGGCCTCTCCTCAGCAGAATGGGATTGTTGAGCGTCGCATTGGCTTGATCATGGAGGTTGCTCGTACCTCCATGATCCATGCGGCCGCTCCCCATTTTCTGTGGCCGTTTGCGGTCAGATACGCTGTGCATCAGCTCAACCTCTGGCCCCGTGTCTTTGAGCCAGAGACCTCGCCCACACTCCGGTGGACGGGTAAGGTTGGCGATGCGTCGGTGTTTCGGGTCTGGGGCGCGCTCTCCCTTGTTCGCGATGCCAAAGCGAGCAAGCTCTCCTCTCGCACTCTCCGCTGCGTCTTCCTTGGCTTCCCCACCGTCGCCCTGCCGTGGCAGTTCTACCACCCGCGCTTGCATCGAGTCTTCTCCTCCCAGGACGTCACCTTTGATGAGTCTGTCTGTTACTACAGGCTACACCCGCACGCATCTCACCCGGTCCCCCAAGTGCCTCTTTTCTTGGTACCAGTCCCCCCCCCCAGTAGACCCCCTCCCCCCACAGGGTCCTGCTCCCTTAGGTGTGTCTCAGGTAGACCCACCCCCCTTGGTTGAGCCTTTGGAGATATCTTTTGACTCATCTAGCCTAGGTGAGGGGGGTGACCCTGCCGCTGACGACACGGCGGCTACTCGCTGCTCTCCACGCTTTGAGACCCCCCCTGGTTTTCCGCCTCGGATGTCTTCGCTGCCTCCGCAGCCTGCTGGTGTGGACTCTGGAGCTGAGACTGCTGGTGCTGAGCCTGGGGGTGCTGAGACAGAGGGTGAGGGTTCTGGGGGTGCTGCGACTGGGGGTGCTGTGACTGGGGGTGCTGGTTCTTGGGGTGCTGCGACTGGGGGTGCTGACTCTGGGGGTCCTTCACGTCCTAGTGGCGGTGGAGCTGTGGGTGACCCTACTGGAGGTCCTGGAGCTGGATAGCCACCGCAGCCTGACCTACTTAAGACGCTCTCGCCGCAGGCGATTCGTGCGTGGATCGTTCGACGAGGCAGTCCTGGTGGTGGAGGGTACGGTCCTGCTGGTGCTGGAGCTGCTAGTCCTGGAGGTACTGCGCCTGCTGGAGGTACTAGAGGTGCTGCTGGTGCTGGAGGTGCCGGAGCTACTAGTCCTGGAGGTACAGCTGGTGCTGGAGGTGCTGCTGGTGCTAGAGGCACTGGAGCTGGAGGTACTGGAGGTGCTGGAGCTGCTGGTCCTGGAGGTGCTCGTACTGGAGGTGCTGGAGCTGCCGGAGCTGGTGGTGCTGTTCGTGTTGGAGGTGTTGGAGGTACTGCTGGTGCTGGAGGCGCTGGAGCTGGAGGTACTGGAGGTACTGGAGGTGCTGGAGCTGCTGGTCCTGGTGGTGCTCGTACTAGAGGTACTAGAGCTACCGGAGCAGGTGGTGCTGCTGGAGCTGGAGGTGCTGGAGGTGCTACTAGAGCTCCTGGCACTGGAGGTGCTGGAGGTACTACTGGTGCTAGAGGTCCTGGCGCTGCCGGAGCTAGTGGTGCTGCTAGTGCTGGAGGTGCTAGAGGTGCTACTGGAGCTGCTGGTACTGCCTTGTGCATACCGTTTTTCTACCCGCAGCCGCAGTCATCCCAGCCGCCGCCTGACTCGGTCCTTCGCTAGGTTCTTAGTCTCCCATCTTCCACTGGCCTCCCTCTACCCCTCCTGTGTTCACCAACGGACCAGTCTCTGCCACAGCTACTGCCTGGCTCCCCGTTGCCTGCGCCTGCTCCTCACACTTAGGTGACTGAGTCCCTGACTGAGCATCGCGAGCCTGAGACTCGTGCTTCCACACCTGTTTGTCCTCGTCGTGTCGCCCGTCCACGTCCTCGTGCTGTCCCAGGCACTCACGGTATGGCACTTCGTCCTTCCTCTGTTCCACAGCGTGTTGTCCTGCATGAGCCTCCCGCGTCCTCTCTTCCGCACGTTCTTGACCCTGAGTTTGACCTTGCTCGTACTGCCAGTCCTACTGTCACTCGTCTCCTCGCTACTGTCATCACTGACCCTGACCTTGAGTCTTCTGCAGCGCTTGCCCTAGTCACTGAGCTAGTCGACTTTGCAGCTAGGAGTCGTCTCGACTATGTTGCGAGTCTTGTCACTGAGTCTGAGTCTGTCTGTCCTCCGTCCGTCGGGGGTGAGCTTGCCCTTGGCACGGACGTCTTTGAGGACAGGCAGGAGGACTTTGAGTGTCTTGCAGCTACTGTACCTCGTTTCGCTTCCATGCTTCTTGCCCTTGAGGGAGACATCCCGACCCCGTGCTCTTACGCAGAGGCGATTACGGGTCCTTACTCCTCTCAGTGGCAGGCAGCCATGGATGCCGAGATGGCTTCCTGGAAGTCCACAGGCACCTACGTCGACGAGGTTCCTCCTCCTGGGGCGAACATAGTCGATGGCATGTGGATTTTCAGGGTGAAGCGGCCACCGGGTTCTCCGCCTGCCTTCAAGGCATGTTACATTGCTCGAGGCTTTAGTCAGCGACAGGGGGTCGACTTCTTCCAGACCTTCTCCCCCACCCCAAAGATGACTACTCTTCGGGTGCTACTGCACATTGCAGCACAGCGTGACTACGAGCTGCACTCCCTCGACTTCTCCACAGCTTTCCTGCAGGGCAGCCTTCACGAGGAGATCTGGCTACGCCGCCCACCCAACTTCACTAGGTCGTTTCCTTCGGGTACCCAGTGGAGCCTCCGACGGCCAGTCTACGGTCTCCGCCAGGCGCCCCGAGACTGGCACGACACACTGAGGACTACACTTGCAGCTCTTGGGTTTGCTCCTTCGACTGCTGACCCGTCGCTATTTCTACGCACCGACACTACCATGACGCCGTTCTACGTTCTACTGTACGTCGACGACTTGGTTATTTCTTCTTCTGACATTGAGGCGCTGGCCCTAGTGAAGGCGGAGCTGCTGGAGAGACACACGTGCACTGACCTGGGTGAGTTGCGTAGCTATCTTGGCTCGCAGATCACCCGGGACAGACCACGGCGCACCATCACACTGACTCAGTCACACATGGTGCACCAGGTCCTTCAGCGCTTTGGCTTCCACTTCTCCTCGCCACAGCCCACTCCTCTGTCTACCGGCCACTCGCTCTCAGCTCCACCGTCGGACGAGTTCGTAGAGCCGAGTGGTCCGTACCCAGAGCTTGTGGGTTGCCTCATGTACTTGATGACGTGCACACGACCGGACCTCGCGTACCCTCTCAGCCTCCTGGCTCGCTACGTAGCTCCCGGTAGACACCGAAAGGTGCACTGGGATGCTGCGAAGAGGGTACTGCGTTACTTGTGCAGTACATCGGGCATTGGGCTAGTGCTTGGAGGATAGGGTTCAGTGGTACTCACAGGACACTCCGACGCTTCTTGGGCCGACGACCAGGCGACTCATCGTTCGTCACAGGGTTACACCTTCAGTCTTGGCTCCGGTTCTGTCTCGTGGAGGTCCACTCGTTCTTCTTCTGTGCTTAGTTCCAGCTGTGAGGCCGAGATCTACGCAGGGGCCATAGCTGCACAGGAGCTATGCTGGCTGACCTACCTGCTAACCGACTTGGGGGAGTGGCTTCGTTCTCCTCCAGTTCTGTACGTCGAAAAAAAGGCAATGCTTGCCTTGTGTCACGAGCAGAGACTGGAGCACAGAACGAAGCACATTGCTCTTCGCTACTTCTTTGCGCGTGAGCTGCAGCAGCGTTGTCAGCTCCGCCTTTCCTACGTGGCCTCGCAGGCCAACACTGCTGATGTCTTCACCAAGGCCCCTGGGTCTGGTGATCATCAGCGTTTTTGCACTGCTCTTGGGCTTGTGCCCACTCTGCCTCACTTGCTAGTTTCTTGACTTGCTCTTGTTGTACACTTATATATATCTTTATACCTGCTTGTTTGCTCTTGCTAGGTTGTGATCAGTGTACTGCCTTGCTATTATAACTCTGCATGTGAACTGGCCTTGTGGCCGATTGCTTGTGCTCAGATTGTGTGGTGTCCTTGAGATCCACCCAGAGCTTTGCTTTGCTCTGTTGTCTTGCTTGACCGGTCTTGTGACCGTCTTGTTGTCCCCCACTTAGCCTATGGGGGTGTGTCAAAGTACCATCTTACTTGTAGGCTATAGTGGGGCACTCCTTATGGGGTACAACACTTCTAGGGTTAGTACTTGTACCCCAACTCTTGCTAATCCAATCATTCCTGCACAGTTCTGTCGACATGTGCATTCATTTTGACCGAGCCCCCCCCACTGAATTGGTGAAAATGACTAGCAAACTTGAATTTATATAAAAGTAAGGGCGTCTCCAAATCAGTTAGTGAGCTGAGCGGATAGAAAAACGTTAAAAGCTTTTGTAGGACCGTCGAAGGCGTGGGTTCAATACTTGAGAGACTTTCTTAGTTGGAAAAATATGTATACTGGTTGTCCATCCATCTAGAGTAACGATCATGATCAACCCTGATTTTCAGAGTTCCCAAAATAACAGCTCTGAAAATCCGAGTAGTGAAAATCCAAAAAAAAAAAAGAACCCTGGCTGGCACACATTACTAAACGATTATAAAGATTTATGGACTAAAGGATGTGCTACACAAAATCATTGCTCAACTCATGTGTTTGTGTAGTTTTCCAAGTAGTCCTAGATTCTGGAATCTGCTGTGCTGGTCCCTGAAGACTTGCAGGTGCGATTCAGGTATTTGCAGCCTCCACGATTCAGTGGTGCTGATCTTGCACCTATCTCCCAGTCCCAGACTCAGGGAATAAAACTTCAACAAGTATAGGAGTGTGACTCATATGGTGTTTCCGAGAAAAGTCTGCTTAGCTTTCAGGCAATGGTATTGGTCAGCTTGAGGTGTCATTCCTCGTACACTGTCGATTTTACAGGATCGCCCATCGTAGAATCCGGAGAATTGGTTCATAGGCAGAACCGTCCATAGGCAGCTCACAGGCGTTTCCGCTGAATCCGCCGCCCCTTCGAGGCGCTGGCTCCGACCAGGTATTGTTCCGAGTTATTTATGCATCATAATACTAATATAATAATATCATCTGTTTCACCCAGGTAATACGACATTTATCCAGGTGAAACGGTCCGGCCTCCTACTGCTGGTGGTTCCGCGGGTACGGGAGAGCCTGGCGCGCGAGTTTTGTTGTTAACAACACTCCTAGTGTTGTTAACGTGGAAATCTGGGTGGCTGGGACGCGCGATGCAATGTTGGTCGTGCTGCTGGTTGCGAAACACTCGGACAGCAGGAGGGTTGGGGGGGAAAGCGTAGGGTAGCGGAGAGATAAGGGGAAAAGCTTAAAGTAGCGGAGAGGTAAGGGTAAAAATGCGGAGGTTTTTGTGGAGCCCCTCAGCGGTGGGACGCACAATGCGGCGTTAGTGGTGCTGCTGGGTCGGGGAAGCGGAGGAAAGCGGGGAGCGCACGTCCGCTTCTAAAAAGCTTCGCACATTATTACTATTTTTATGACATTTTTTGTAACAAAAAACTCGGATATTTTTTAATTCCCCTTAAACAATGTCCCACTTTCCTTTCTCCACTCTTCCACCATCCCCGCCCCCCCTCTTCCGCTCCCCCCCCCTCCCAGCATGTCCGCCCTTTCCCCCAAGCGGTGGCGCGTGGGGGAGAGGGTGGAGGTCTCCCGCCAGGGAGAACGCCTTCAGGGGACGACTTTTGAGGCGCCTCAAAGGTGGCGCGTGGGGGAGAGGATGGAGGTTTCCCGCCAGGGGGCGGGCCTTCAGGGGGGATGGTTCACCGCCGTGCTGCTGGCAGTAGACAGAGGCACGCAGTGGGGTTCAGTGCGGTACGAGGAGATGATGGAGGCGGACGTGGTGACCAGACTGAGTGAACACGTCAGCCTGGATCAGATCCGCCCCGTGCCACCTGGCATGGAGGGAGACGACCCTGCCACGTGGGACAAGGTAGATGGGTTCTTTTGGGTTTTTTTTTTTTTTTAACGTGGGGGGGGAAGGCATGGTTCTAATTTGAATTCTCGCTGATATCTTTCTAGCTAAACACCCATTCCCTATTCTCGCTGTTTTTCCCCCCTTTCCCCTTTTCCCCCCTTCCCCTCCTTTTCCCCATTTTCACCCTGTCCTTCCCTTCCCACTCTCCCTCACCTTCTTCCCAGGGCCGTGCGGTGGAGGCTTGGCACAACAATGCCTGGTGGATCGGCACGATCCTTGGCCGAACCACGCCCGAACCTGACTCTCCAGGTGCCGCGCCTGGTGCTAGGCTCGGTACCGAGGCTGAGGTGCTGGCGTTCCGAGTGTGCTTGCAGGGATCAGAGGAGCAGAAAATGTTCCTAGCTCGTGACCTGCGCACAAGAATGGACTGGCTTCAGGGCGAATGGATACCTTCCAAGCATTTACCTGCTGGTACAACTGCTACTGCTACAGCCGCTGCTGCTTCTGTTACAACTCCTGCTGCTGCTTCTAGTGAACTTGGCGCCGTTATAGCTGCTGCTGCTGTTACCTATGCAACTATGGGTGGTGCCAGTGAATCACTGTGTGCTCATGCCGTACCTGATGCTGCAACAGACTCTGTAACTGAAGCTGCAGGTTCAGTTACAGAGTCTGTTGCAGAACCTGCTACTGAAGCTGAGGTAACGGAAGCAGCTTCAGGAACAGATGAGGTAACGGAACCTGCTACTGAAGCTGCAACTGAATCTTTAGCTGATGCAATTGATGGTGTAGCTATGGCAACTGCTGCAGTGGCAGCTGGTGATGCATGCGCAGTCGGAGGTGATGGAAAAGGGGTTTCAGGGGACGAGGCTCAGGAGGGGAACGATGTCCTAATGGGGGGTGAAGCGACGATCTGTGAGGCGCCTCAAAAGGCATCAGGGGCCGAGGCTCAGGGGGGGGATGAGGTTTTAATGGGGGAACGAGCGGGAACAGGCAGGGCGCAAGAGGAAGGAGACGAGATGGCAGCAGCAACAGCAGCAGCAGAAGCAGATTCAGAAGTAGTAGCAGCTGAGAACAGAGACGCGAATTCAGCAGCAGAACGAATAGCTGCAACAGCATGGGCAGCAGCGGAGACAGCAGAAAGAGGTGCAGTATCAGCAGGACCGCCAGCATCTGAACACGCAGCAGCAGCGCCAGGTGCTGGGGAGTGTGGTGGACAGTGTCAAGGAGAGTGTGGAGGAGAGTGTGGTAGGGAGTGTGGTGGAATTTTTGGCAGGGAGTTCATGCAGGGCCAGGGTGTCGTGAAGACACAGGCTGGTGCTCTTGAGGAGAAGAAAGGTCACGGGGAGCAGATTCTATCGCATGGGCAGGTGACAGAAGGAGAGGGAGCTGTTATTGAAGGGCGGGCAGGCTCTGGTTTGAAGACACAGACTGCTGCTCTTAAGGAGAAGAAAGGTCACGGGGAGCAGCTGCATCAGTTGCAAGGACGGGTGACAGTAGGAGAGTGTACCATTAATGAAGGAATGGCGGGCTCCGTCAGTGTGGGTGATGCTGGTGATTGTAACGGGTGTGAGGGAGGAGTTGACCAAGGGGATGTTGGGGAGAGGGATGGTGGGGCAAAGAACGAAGTGAACGAGAAGGGTGGGGAGGAGCGTGGAGAGAAGGTCAGAGAGGAAAGTGGAGATATTGGAGGGAAGTTTTTGGGGAGTGAGAAGCGAGGAAATGAGGAGGTCACTGGTCTAGCCACGATACTTGGCCGCACAGCAGGCATCTGTGCGCTTTCACTTCGTGCAGTGGGAGGGGAGGGGTTAACACAAGGAGTGGAAGAGAAGGGGCCGGGCCAAAGCGGGGACTCACAAACAGACGAAGTGGGTGAGCGTGAGTGCACGGCAGCAAATTGCACCTGCCAGGATGCTACGACTTGTCAAGTCAACCCTTGTCGGATTGTTCCTAGCCAGAAAGACCCCTGTGAGGATGCTAGTGCCTGTGAGGATGACCCATGGGACCTCAGTGGTGGTGCTGCTGGGAGGGATGGTGCTACTTCTACTGCTGCTGTTGCAGTGGTTGTTTACAAGAGGAGGAAGATGGCTCAGGGATGGCTGGGAGCGAACATGCAGATACACAAGGGGATGCTTGAGTGTGGCATGCAAAGCAAGGGAGGCTTGAGTGATAGTCAGGCTCCGGTGGTGAATCAGGTGGGGAGAGGAGAGGTGGAGGAGAAGGAGGAGGGGGCTGGCAGTGGTGGTGGTAAGATATCAGGGAGTGGGGCTGATAAGAGTGCGATTGGTGGGAAGGCGAGGAAGAGGGAGGGGCTTGCGAGGCAGTGTAAGCGAACGAGAGGTGGAGGAGGAGAAAGAGGAGAAGTGGAAGAGGATGAAAAGGGAGAAGGAAGGAGAGGAGGAGCCCTCAAGTCCTCCACGCATGCAGCAGGCACCAATCCGCCTTCCACTCCTGATGCAGCATTGAAGTCACCTGCTCTGCTAGATTCACCTGCTCTGTTGAAAACACCTGCTGTGCATCACGCCACATCTGCAGTACCACCGGGCACACCTGTGGACACATGCATCCTTGGCGCTCCAGACATTGGGAAACCTGCCATTGGTGTCCCTGCCACCCCTGCAGCGATGCCTGCTACCCCCATGGTGGTTGGGGAGAAGCTGCGGGGGCAGCAGTGCCAACTGCCAGGCCAAATGGCGAAGGTGGCTTCTGAAGCGCTTCAAGACAGGCGAGGAGAAGGAGGGACAGTAGATGGTGGGAGGAGCAGTGAGGAGGTGGAGGAGGTGGAGGAGGAGGAGGAGGTGGAGGAGGTGGGAGAGGAGGGGGTGGGGGAGGAGATGGTAGGTGAGGGAGTGGTGGTGGTGGTGGGAAGTGAGGATGAGGTAGAGGAGGTGGTGGGGGAGGGGGAGATGGGGTGCAGGGTAAGAGGTGGAGTGGCGGAGAAAAGTGCAAGAAAGGGAGAGGAGGTGGGGTTGGAGGAGGTGGAAGGGAGGAAGATTTCCGAGAGAAATGATGAGGCGTATGATGTTAATGATGGTGATAGTGGTGATGATGATGATGATGCTGGGGATGAAAGCGATGATGCAGTTGCTTATGGTGATGAAGGTGATGATGATGTGGTGGAGGTGGTGGGGGAGGAGATGTGTGTGAGCATAGTTCAGCAGGGACCACCAGCAGCAGCAGCCGCAGCTGCAGCAGCAGCAGCCATGGGGAATCATGTCACGGTGACCTCGCTATCTGCACTCACCACTGCAGCAGGCCGAGCCAGTGTGTCTGGACATGCACACGCACATGCACACGCACATGCATACGCACATGCACACGCACATGCATACGCACATGCATACGGGCATGCACACGCACATGCACACGCACATGCACACGCACATGCACACAGGCATGCACACGCACATGCACACAGGCATGCACACGCACATGCATACGGGCATGCACATGGGTCAGCAGGACTTATAGACAAGGCACATGCAAGAGCACATGTGGGCTCACATACAGGACTCACTGAGGCGTATACTGCAGCGCATGCACGAGCACATGCAACGGCACATGCACCCCATGCCCCAGTAACTCCTGCGAATGCTGGTAACCACGTTGCCTCGTCAGCGCGGGTAACCAGCACTCCACCAGGGCAGCTGTTGTGCTCCGAGCAGCACATAGGCGGAGTGAAGCGGCAGCGCTTCTTCGGCTCCTGGCACCGCCAGGGCCCTCTCTTCCAAGACACTCACACTCGCACAGGGATAGAGGGCCTTGCCGTGCACCGGCAGAGTGCTCTCTTTCAAGACACTCACACTCACACAGAAATAGAGGGCCTTTCAGTGCCAAGGATAGTCCACCACGCCAGCTCGGGTGCTGCTGAGGTGAACGAGCAGGATAGGCCGTCTACTGGATCGCTCTATAGAGAGGATACAGTGGGTTTGGTGCATGGGGAGGAGAGAGGGGGCAGGGGATTGGAGGCTGTGGCAGAGGCAGCGTATGGAGGGGTGTTGGATGCGCTGTGGGTTCAGGGAGGTGGAGATGGGATAACATGGGATAAGGAGGTTCTGCTTACAGACCTGCGCAGGGCTTTAAGTATTTCGAATGACCAGCACTCCCGGCTGCTTGCTGCTCTGCTGTCGCGGAGTGAGGCGCGAGACGCTAGCTGGTGACATGCGTTTGAGGCGTCTCTGATGAAATATTTGCTTTCCCTTACTGGCACTTGCGTGTGCATGTGCTGCTCTGCTATCAGAAGTGGGGCTCTGTGTGTGTGAAGTTGCAGCTAATGATGCAGGCACCGAGTTCATGCTCAGGAAGCATCCAACTTTTGTAATTAGGGGCTCGTACATAATTTGTCATCAAGAAAAAAAAGAAAAAAAAAACAAACAAACAAACAAACAAACAAACAAAAACATGAGGCGGCGAAATCGTCTTAGGGTAACCAAGCGTTTTGCGTAATTACATAAATTTGTACAACTTCAAATTATGTATACCGTATTATGCTGTAGTATGACACTAAGTGGTACTTCGTCTTACTTGCCAAAGATTAAGGAATCGCATCAGCAGAAATCGAAATGACTGCGACAGCACATATATTCACCTCGAACAACGAAATTTCTAGACACTAAACTTTTGCGACGAATCTGAGACTGCCTTAGGGTTTGTTCGTTCCTTTTCTCTCCAGCTCCTCCTTCTCGCTAGTTGAGCTCCCCACCACGCTCCACCTACAAGTGCAAGCAGGGCTGATTTTATCAGGGTAATTACCCTGATTTCAGGGTGATTACAGGCTTCTCAACTGCTGGGCCCTGCAATTTCAGTTTTTTTAACTTGTGAACTCTGATCCAATCAGAAAAGTTACTTAACGAACCCTGAAATCTTATAACTAGACTCAGAGTAGTGTACTTGCGGACTATGTCTATGCAGAGTATGCGTTCGGTGGACCCTGAATGCGAGGGTATCGGGACGAAGGTTCCTCGAAGTTTCCTTTCGATAACCCCCCCCTGTGCGTAATCATTACTTCGCGTGGCCCCATGTGAGGTACCCCGTTCACGCGCTGGTCTGACATAATAACGACACCGAATTCCAACACCGTGCTGTAAAGACAGCTGTCAACAGTGACAACGCACCCAAATCTATGAAACGTTGCTGCCACGCGCACCTCGCAGTGCACAGCATGCCTCTGACATTCGCCAGAACGGCATGTTGACAGTATGCGCTGGCAGCTAAGCAGTCCTTGAATGAATTCGGCCTTGCATCTACGGCCGAATTCATTGACGAATGTTGCCATGAACCTTGTGGCATCGCGCCGCGGTGGTTTCGTGATGACCCCGCCATCTCCAACCTTCCTTTCCTTCCCCCCACCCAGAGCCAGGCTTCCTTCGCTTCCTGCTTTTCGTTCAGTATCACACTTTCCTCTCGCTCCATCTTTCCCCTAGCTCGCCGCCATGGAGGCCCTGCCGGCCGACGAAGATGCTCCCCAGACTGGCCCTGACGAGCCACCTTTACCGGCGAAACCGACAGCGCAAGCCTTGCCGGAGAAAGCATCAGATGATCCCCGGTCTGGGCTCGATTTTCTTAGAGCTACCGGTGCTCCGGTGACACCAGAATCTCCTAGGTCTACGGTTCATGACTCTGCTACTAGAGTAACCCCTACTCCTTCTGATTCTCCACATCCTGTCGCCTTCACTCTACCCCCGGCTGTTGCTTCTTGCAGCAAAGATCCCCCACCGCCATCGCCTAGCCCCACTCCAAGCACGGTGCGTGTGTCTGTTGGCCCGCCGTCGGCTTCTTCCACTCCCAAGCGAGCGCGAAATGGGAAGTGGGCGCAGAGTACTCTGGTCGTCGGAGGCCGCCGTATTCCACCGCCTGACAATGACAAGCCGGCAGATCCTCCACCGAAAGAAGCTGAGCAACCGGAGGAAGTTGATATCCCTGTGCGCGCGGATACCGGCTCGCCCGCACTCACCAAGATGCAGCTGCGAGAGCAGGTGTACCTTGAGGCGAGTATTAACTACGAGACGAAGTGGTCGCAACACTTTTCCTGGCTGGTGTTTGGGAAGACCAAGGACGGTTTTCCATACGTGAAGTGCTCCATCTGCATGTCGTACGCGAAGGGGAACACGAGGTACGCCATGCAAGGTGACGACGGTGGCCGTGACTTGCAGACGCAGTCTTTCAGGGCGCACGAGCATACGGACGCACACAAGGCGGCGGTGGATCGGCAGTTGAAGCTTGCGGCGGGCATCCGCGAGGGCCAGCAGGCGATTTTTGACTTCATCAACTCCGACGTCGAGGGGCGGCGCGCGATTCGTCTCATGCGGTCTACGCAATTCTTGTGCCAGTGCGACGCGCCGATTAGCATGTTTCCGAAGCTGATGCGGCATCTTGCGGAGCAGGACACGCCAGACATTCCTCGACAATCTTACGGCGTGTATCTGACACGGTATTTAATCTTACCGTTAGATTGCAGCTGGACATATGTGACGTGTGGTTTTTTTATTACGATCCTGACCATTTTATTCTCCTCTGTGCAGATACGGGTTCCAACAAATGGTTCACAGCATCAGTACATACCTCACTCGGGTCCAGATGGACCACATCCTGGCATCCCCCTTCCTGGGCATTCAGTGCGACGAGAGCACAGACCGAACGCGAGGGAAACACATGATTGTGTACCTTACGTTTTTGAAGAATCGCCAAATCGCATGCGAGTTCTTTACATTGCTGACGGTTGAGCGGTGTGATGCAGGGTCTCTGTTCGAGGTGCTTCTGAACCATCTCCGCTCCGCAGCCGTCGATGTGTCCAAGATCGTCGGCATCAGCACGGATGGGGCGTCGGTCATGACCGGGAAAGAAAACGGATTGGTAGCGCGTCTTCGGGAACACGTTCCGCACCTGTTTTCATGCCACTGCATCGCCCACCGGTGTGTATCAAGTTTCCTAGTTGGTGTGGTTTTCTACGTATAAGATTAACCAATTACCTCTTGATATTGTATTCCCTGCATCCTACAGTGAGGCGTTGGCTGTGAAGGACGCCGCTGAGTCAAACGAGGACCTTGGCATGGTCGACAAGGTGGTGCGCACAGTGGCGACGCTTCTCGGAAACTCAAGCGTGTGGAGTCAGCGCTTCAAGTACCTTCAGCGAGTGATCTACCAGACAAACCTCGAGGTCTAAGGAATCCACACGGTTCGATGGCTGTCACGAGGTGATGCGGTGCGGAGGCTGTGCAAGGTCCTCGGCGCTTGCATCGTGCTGCTCTGGGAGCACAACCACAAGGCCTACGAGATTGTGACGTGCTACAAGTTCCAGTTCTGTTTGTTTTTCCTGGCCGACATTGTGGCCGACATGAACGACCTCAACCGCTGCTTCCAGAGGCGTGAGGTGAGATTGAATGCTACTATAATGTTGAAATGGGAAGTGTAATCCAACACTTTTGCTAATCCTACTCCCTGTTGTTGATTGCATGTGTGACAGCTGGATGTGACTGAGATTTCGAAGACTATTGAGTCCACCACGGGTGACCTGACGGAGCGCTACTTGACGACAAACAAACCGTTCGGGGGCGAGGGGAAGAGCTGGATGGTAAACTTCCTCAAGGTCCACAAGGAGGGTGGAGGCAAGCAGGTCCGGGTTCGAGGCGTGGACGGAGAGGGACGCCCAATCAACCACCTCTACACCATGCATGAGAGGAAGCTGAAGGGCCACAAGCAGGGAAGCACCTACGCAGACTGCGTGAAGCTGTGCCGCCAATTTGCCCGCGACTGCGTGGACAGCCTGAACGAACGGCTGGATGACCTTGGGAAGCTGGGCCCGACGAAGCTGTTCCGGGCGGGGAAGTGGCCGAAGATCAAGGCCCAGCGAGAGGAGAAGTGCAAGGAGTGGCTGCACGGATGCAGCAGGCTCTTCCGCCACAAGCTGCCGGGATTCGACCTCAAAGCAGCAGAGAGGGAGCTCCCGACATTCTGCGCGATCATGGAGTCACACCATGAGATGGAGAGCTTCGCCCAGGGCCTTAACAACTTTCTTGGGAGCGTAGACTCAAAGAGGTAGGCCACTTCATGCGTACGAGTTTTTTACCTATTTGATTTTTATGTTGGTGATTATTAACATGTTGAATTCCAACTTGTTGATTTATTAACTTGTTGATACTTTTACATGTTTTGTTGTGTTTCGAATGTGCCTGGCAGGAGATGGCCCAACCTCATCCTGCTGTGGCAGGCGCTGGCTGTGCTTCCCCTCTCCACCGTGGAGTGCGAGAGGGGGTTCTCCAGGCAGAACATCATCAAGTCCTGGGTGCGTGGAGCGCTCTGCAACGCGCGTCTGGGGGAGCTGATGCAGATATCGCTCCTGAAGTACGAGATCGAATGGCCGGAGGCACTGGAGGTGTGGAGGTCCATGCGGAGGAGGCGCCCTATGAAGAGCCTGAAGCTGGCCGAGGCAGAGAGGGAGAGGAAGGGGAAGCAGAAGGAGGGTGAAGCTGTGGCTGCTGGAACTGCGGGGGAGAACGAGGACGAGGGGGAGGAGGAGGAGGAGGAGGATGAAGTGGAACAGGACTTGGGCGACGATCAGGAGGTCGTGGAAGAGGAGGACAACTCTTTCCTGTCAGACGATGAGGACGTAGAGGAGGTGTACTTCATTGACAAACCCGTGCACTAGATAGTGTAGGAAAGTTGAAGTTGTATCAGTCATTTTGAAGTGTAGTGCAATGTTAATAGCAACCCTGATTTTGAGCTGTGAACCCTGACGGATCAGACTAGGACGTTGTTCGACACTGAGCTATCAGGGTAGCTTCCCTGTGAAAAATGTGCGATCATAATAGAGGGGGAATTTTTTTCCGGGAATCAGGGAGGCCTAAAACGAAACGTCAGCCCTGAGTGCAAGGTAAGAACAACTCTAACCATTTTGAGCCAAATCAGATCATTACAAGCTATACTACCATCTCTTAGTCGCATATCGTAGTCGTTTAACATAGTATTGGCCGCAGATTGTTTAAGGCTTAGGTTCTAGGATGTTGTAGATACTTTAGCTTTATGTCTTTCACTAGATTGCATCCATTCTTCTACCGTATAACCCCGGATATAAGCGCACCTGCGCTTATAATAAAACATGATTTTTCAAGGGGGTGCGCTTATAATTGAGTAAAAAATATAAGCGCATGCGCTTATAAGATAACAAATATACAATTTTAAACTACTAGCACAAAAATGTAGTTCGCGTCATTGCGCACCCAATCGAGTCGATTTGAAACAGGGTTGTGGGCGAAAAACTCTCGCTACTTGGCAGGGAAAGATTCCCTGCCATCACATACACTCAAAATGAGTCACTAGGAGCTTCTGACAGCACTTGCAGACTGGACGCGAAGCCTGTGCAGGGTTTGAATGCGAAGGAAATCTGATTTTCATGTCATCGCCTCCTAAAGTGAACTTCGTTACAGTAATTTGACAGTTTTTCAAATTTAAAACTAACATGCGCTTATAATAAATCATGTTTTTTACGGGGGTGCGATTATAATTGAGGATCGGGCATAAGCGCATTGCTCCAGACAGAAGCGCATGCGCTTTTATCCGGGGTGATACGGTACTATTCATCGTCTCTTTCCTATGTTGCATGCTTACAACCTCGTATTTGCATATTTTGTCAAAGTTACAAACGAGAATGGGATGAACTAGCAGCAGGATGAGTACAAGTACTAACCCTGAGTTGTGTTGTACCCCATATGGGCTACCCCACTACAGACTACACAATGTTAGCATATAAGTTTGACATATCAAAATAGTGAAGGAATGAGTTACTGAACTAGCAAGCAGGTGGGTACAAGTATGAAACCTAAAAGTGTTGTACCCTAAATGAACTACCCCACTACAGCCTAAACAGACTATAACATATAAGTTTGACACACCCCTGTCAGAATGTCATTGTTCTCTAGCCTGCAGTGGGGTACTCTATAGCGAGTACAACCCCTTAGGGTTTCCTATATGTATCCTGCTGCTTTCTAGTGAACCCCCTTCTTTTGCCTAAACTTCTCTTGCCTAGCTAGGACTTACCTAGCTATGGCTCCTAACTCTACCTACTATTCTCACATGCTATCAGAGCAGGTCGATCCCCTTGGGTCGATCCTATGGGTGGGCTCACCACCTCACTGCTTCCGCTGCTACTGCTACTCTCTGTGTCGCACGCCCCGTGGCGTGCGACGGATTTTTCATCCCGCCGCGCGCTCGGAGCGTGCGGCGGTTTTCTGCCCGCCGTGCGCCCCGAGGCGCGCGGCGGTTTTCTGCCCGCCGTGCGCCCCGAGGCGCGCGGCGGTTGTCTGCCCGCCGTGCGCCCCGAGGCGCGCGGCGGGTTTCTGCCCCGTCACTCCGCGCGTCGCTCCAGGGAGGCGCTGCGACGGGCGACGGGGACCCGCGCGTCGCCCCCCGTCGCCCGTCGTGGCCTGCGCGCGGCTCGTACAGCCTGCGCGCGGCCCGTACGGGCTGCGCCAGGCCCGCGCGCGGCCCGTACGGGCTGCGCCAGGCCCGTGCGCGGCCCGTATGGGCTGCGCCAGGCCCGCGCGCGGCTCGGGCCGCCTGCGCGCGGTTCGGGCGGCTGTGCCAGGCCCGTGGGCGGCCCGTTCTTCGCTGCCCCTGCGCTGCCCGCTGTCCCCCGTGCTTCTGATGGCGCCCCACCCCTGCTGCTGCCCGTTCTCCTGAATTAGGGTTTGGGGGTGGGGGGTCTGGGGGTGCAGCTTCTGTGTGCCGTCCCCTGCTCCTCCTCCTCCTCCGTCTCCCAGTGCTGCAGCTGCCGCTGAGGGGGGTGGACCTGTTGGAGCCGTCGGAGTGGTACTAAGGGGGGTGAAGGGGGAGTGGAGCTAGGGGTGAAGCAGGGGGTGTGTGTCAGGGGGAGTGGGACTGTTTGGGGAGGTTGAACTGAGGTTGCCGTCGTGTCGCCAGCAGCACCTGTAGTCCGGGGAGTTGCTCCGGTAGCCCAGTCGCAGCCAGCTGTGCCAGTCGCCCGTGGGTCCGTTGCTCGTCTGCCGCTACTTTTAGCCGCGGAGCCAGTTACTCCAGTAGTCCGGAGCGTTGTTCCGGTAGCCGCTGTGCCAGTGTGACTCCTGTTGCCCGTGTGTCTGCAGCTTCAGCCGTCGCCTCCTATCTCCTCTCCTCTCACTCTCGCCTCCTCCTCCTCACTTGCCCTCTGCGATAGCCTCTAGCTTTGCTCATAATTGTGAACTTTAAACTATTGCTTCTTGTACTTGTGCTCAGAATGTGTGGTGACATTGTGATCCACCCTGAGCTTGTTCTGCTTTGCTTGCTCTGCTGATTACACCCCACTTTGGCTATGGGGGTGTGTCAGAATGTCATTGTTCTCTAGCGTGCAGTGGGGTACTCTATAGCGAGTACAACCCCTTAGGGTTTCCTATATGTATCTTGCTGCTTTCTAGTGAACCCCCTTCTTTTGCCTAAACTTCTCTTGCCTAGCTAGGACTTACCTAGCTATGGCTCCTAACTCTACCTACTATTCTCACAACCCCCATAGGCAAAGTGGGGGAGAACAAGAGGTCACAAGACCGGTCAAGAAAGGCAAAGCAAGCTCAGGGTGGATCACAAAGTCACCACGCATTCTGAGCACAAGCAAATGGCCACAAGGCCAGTTCACATGCAGAGTTATATAAGGGAGAACAAGCCATACAGTGAACACAACCTAACAAGTGTAAGCATGTAGGTATATATGTATAGAGATCACAGTACAAGTAGAGTCAAGAAGTAAGCAAGTGAGGCACAGTAGGTACAAGGCCTAGAACAGTACAGAAACGCTGATGATCACAAGGCTGAAGTGCCTTGGTGAAAACATCAGCAGTGTTGGCCCGAGAGGCCACGTAAGCAAGACGAAGCTGACCACGTTGCTGCAGCTCTCGAGCAAGGAAGTAGCGCAGAGCGATGTGCTTCGTTCTGTGCTCCAGTTTGTGCTCCTCACACAAGGCAATCATGGCCTTGTTGTGGACGTACAGCACTGGAGGGGAACGAGGCGGCTCTCCCAGGTCGGTCAGCAGGTAGGTGAGCCATCGTAACTCCAGTGCAGCCATGGCCCCTGCGTAGATCTCAGCCTCACAACTAGAGCTGAGAACAGAAGACGAGCGGGTAGACCGCCAAGAGACAGAGCTGGAGCCAAGGCTGAAGGTGTAACCCTGTGACGACCGCTGCGTAGTCAAGTCGTCAGACCAGGAAGCGTCTGCGTGACCAGTGAGGACAACTCGAGCCCGTCCTCCAAGCACAAGCCCCATGCCCGACGTACTGCACAAGTAACGCAGTACCCTCTTCGCAGCATCCCAGTGCACCTTTCGGTGCCTGCCAGGAGCCACGTAGCGTGCCAGGAGGTGGGCGAGAGGGTACGCGAGGTCGGGTCGAGTGCACGTCATCAGGTACATGAGGCAGCCCACAAGCTCTGGGTACGGGTCACTCGGCTCTACGGACTCGTCCGAAGGTGGAGCTGAGAGCGAGTGACCGGTAGGCAGAGGAGTGGACAGTGGCGAGGAGTACGTGAAGCCGAAGCGCTGAAGGACCTGCTGCACCATGTGTGACTGAGTCAAGGTAATGGTGCGCTGTGCTCTGTCCCGGGTGATCCGCAAGCCAAGATCGCTTGTCAGCTCACCCAGGTCTGTGCACGTGTGTCTCTTCTGCAGTTCCGACTTCACGTGGGCGAGTGCCTTAGTGTCAGCAGTAGCAAAGACCAAGTCGTCTACGTACACGAGAACGTAGAACGTCGGCAGAGTGGTGTCGGTGCGTAGAAACAGCGACGGGTCAGCCGTGGAAGGAGCAAAACCAAGAGCAGCAAGAGTCGTCCTCAGTGTGTCGTGCCACTCACGGGGTGCCTGGCGGAGACCGTAGACTGGCCGCCGGAGGCTCCACTGGGTACCAGCAGGAAACGACCCAGTGAAGCCAGGTGGGCGGCGCAGCTAGATCTCCTCGTGCAGGCTGCCTTGTAGGAAGGCTGTGCTGAAGTCAAGCGAGTGTAACTCGTAGTCACGCAGAGCGGCGACGTGCAGCAGTAACCGAAGAGTGGTCATCTTCGGGGTA